AGGAGGAAGAAGAAGGAGGAGAAGGAGGAAGAAGGAGGAGGAAGAAGGAGGAGGAGGAGAAGGAGGAGGAAGGAGGAAGAAGGAGGAGGAGGAGGAAGAAGAAGGAGGAGGAGGAGGATGAAGGAGGAAGAAGGAGGAGGAGGAAGAAGGAGGAGGAGGTGGAAGAGAGCAAGAACAGGAAGAAGAGGAGGAGGAGGAGGAGGAAGAAGGAGGAGGAGGGAGGAGGAGGAGGAGGAAGGAGGAAGGAGGAGGAGGAGGAGGAAGAAGGAGGAGGAGGAGGTGGAGGAGAGCAAGAACAGGAAGAAGAGGAGGAGGAGGAGGAGGAGTGGGGAGGATTATGACTAGAATCTCAAAGGAATTTACAGTTCTTGGAAAGAATCTTATCATACCTGTTAAGAGGTTCTGACTTAGATCTTCTGAGGAAATTTTGTTGAAGATGAGCTCCTGAGATGGATGTCCTCTTGCCTTGAGTCTTTCAGAGGTCACTCCCACAAATGATCCCTGGGCAAGAAATACCATACAAGAGGAGTTAAGGATATTCATACTATCAGATTCTTACCCTTTGCTTCCAATTTCAGAGCCCCAGATTTCCATCAGTGGGAACACAAAAACATGGTACCCCAACAGTTCGCTTGAAATATGGCCTCTGAAAGTGACAAGGGCTTAATTTGCCTACAGATGTTGCCATCGTGTTCATAATTCCAGAAAGCTCAAGTAGCAAAACACCATTGTATTTTTTAGAGTGTAAGACGCACTTTTTCCACCACCAAAAGTGGGTGGAAATGTCTGTGCATCTTATACAGCGCATGTTGCTGAAGCCCCGCCCACCCACCAGACTCCACCCTTTGACCTCTGCCTCCCAGCAATTTGCCTCCTTGCAGCAAACAGCAGTCTGTTTCAGCTTCAGCACAGCCTGATTAGCACAAACAGCTGATTGTCGGTTGGATTGGCCTCTGGGCGATCAGCTGTTTCAGGCTGCAGGGATTGCTATAGTCTATGGCCGCCTTCGCACGCCCCATTTTTGGCCTCCGCATCCTGTTTTTGCCCACGACGCACCCCATTTTCAGCCTCTGGGCGCCCCATTTTCCAGCCATTCCGATCCTTGCTGCCCGGAACAGGCCAAAAATGGGGAACACGGCGGCCAAAAATGGGGCAGAATCCAAAAACAGGACATGCGGAGGCCGAAAACATGGGACACAGAGGCTACAATAGCCTGCAGCCTGAAACAGCTGATCGTCGGGAAGCCGATCCAACTGACAATCGGCTACTTGTGCTAATCAGGCTGTGCTGAAGCTGAAATAAGCTGTTTGCTATTTGCTTCAAGGAGGCAAATTGCTGGGAGGCAGAAGCAGATTTTTTTTTTCTTGTTTTCCTCCCCAAAAGCTAGGTGTGTCTTATACTTCAGAGCATCTTATCGAAAAATACGGTAAACATTGAAGAATGGTGTTACCATCCATCTGGAACTAACAGGAGAGCATCTTCTCACCTGCAATTTCTCCTCGTTTGTTTGGTTCAGGAGGAAGCCCTCTGCCAAGGCCACCGCCTGGGAACTCGTCTCTGGTTCACACTCCTGGACCCAGCTCTTCATCTCCAGAGGCAGGATGGCCACAAACTGCTCCAGGATCACCAGGTCCAGCATCTCAGCTTTGGTGATCCTTTCTGGTTTCAGCCACTGGGTGCAAAGCTGGTGGAGCTGGCTGCAAAGCTCTCGGGGTCCCTTGGCCTCTTCATATCGGAAGTCTCTGAAACACTGACACTGTTCATGCAATCCAGCCACTTCTTCCTCTAGGTTCTTCGGTCTGATTTTTTCTCTGGTGGTCTCGGGACAAGGAAATTGTCGTTGTCTTTCCTCTGCTGGGTATTCTTCATGCATTTTTCTCTGTGTTTTCTAACAAAAAACAAAATGGGATCAGCTTTTTCCTGATCTCCAAAGTGATCTTCCTTGGAACCTCAACTGCACGAGGAGGTTCTGGAAAAAATCTCACCCTTCCTTACTTATGATATACCTTTGCAGTCGAAAACTCCTGAGCAAGAGAAGATGCTTCCAGGTATTAACCAGCGGTATAACTTGCCACCAGAAACTGTGTGTTTTCCAACACTGGAGATTTTTAAGAAGTGACTGTACCAGCCATGGTATAGGGCCAGGGTCAGCAACCTTAAACACTCAAAGAGCCACAAAGGGGCTAAGCAGAAGCCCCCTGTTCAATTCTGGAGCTGACCAGAAGTCTGTTTCCCCCACCATAGAGTCTCTTCCTAGCATGGCGTCCTGTTTGCTCTGCCAACTGGAAGTCCGTTTCCCCCACCATAGAGTCTCCTCTAATGCAGTGTCTTTTTTTCCTCTGCCAACCCTGAAGCCCAGTCCCTCCTCCGCCCACCATAGAGTCTCCTCCTAGCACGGCATCCTTTTTCCTCTACCTATCGTAACTGAAAGCCCTATCAATTGTGGAGCTGACCGGCAACAGACAGCTACATAGGGGTGGGATCCTACCGGTTCAGCCCGGTTCTATAGAACCGGCAGCTCCAAAGAGCAGCTGACACAGAACCAGTGGGTTTTGGTCTGCTGTTTGGCCCACCTACCTGCCCAGGCTCTAGGCTGTCCTTTAGTGGCTGTGTTTTTCTCCTCAGCTGCGTTGCGCAGCACAACTGAATGCCGCTCGTCAGCTGGAAAAGGTAAATGCTTGCCAGAGCTGGTAGCGCGCACGCATGTGCAGCACACATTTGACGTGCATGTGCGCGCTCCCCAAACCGGTTGTTATGCCAGTTGGATCCCACCCCTGGAGCCACAGCATAGGGATGAAAGAGCCACATGCGGCTCCAGAGCCGTGGATTGCCGACCCCTGATATAGGGTCTCCTACTTGAGGAGGGGATTGGACTAGAAGAGCTCCAAGGTCCCTTCCTACTCTGTTGTTCTGAATTCTGTGAAGGGTCCTTGGTGCTCTCTGAGCTTACCTGTTTTCTTGAAAAGTTTCATTACCCAAACTGGGTTACATTATCACTGCTACTGGTAGCACTGACGATGCTATCTAATTTGGATAATGAAACATCTGCAAGAAAACAAGCAAGCTCAGAGAGCACCAAGGACCCCCTCATGCCAACCCTGAGCTACAAATAGTCTCCGTTATTAGATAATAAACTACTGGAACTGAAGAGACCCAAGCCTCGTGAAGAAGTTCTCACACGTCTACATTTTTTGATTCTTTGAGAAGAATCCATGTAAGATGAGTGTTTGCGGGCATGATCCCAGCCAAACTTGAGGTATTTCTTATTCCTTTGCTGGAAGAGGCCTGAAGAGAGCCTTCAATGAGAGGAGATGGCTCTGGATTTAATCCAGCTGTAGCTCTTTCATCCAGGGATTGGTCACTCTACCTCTAAGCAACAAACTCTTGGATCAATTCCCACCCGTCATAATCACCACAGAAATGGAACACAGATGCAGTATTCTAGGTATGGTCTTATTAAGGCTTTATAGACTGGTATTAATACCTCATTTGATCTTGATTACACCCCTCTCTTAATGCAATTTAGGATTACACTGGCTTTTTTTGCTGCCGCTGCGCACTATTGGCTCATATTTAGCTGGTTGTCCACTAAGACTCCAACATCCCTCTCATAGTTACTGCTATCGAGCCTGGTTTCACCTAGTCTATATGTGTACTTTTGGTTTCTCTTGCCTAAGTGTAGGACTTTACTTTTCGCTACATTGAATTTCATTTTGTTAGACATGTCCCAGTGTTCTAGTCTGTCAAGATCCATCTGGATCTTGAGGTTATCATCTAGGGTGTTGGCTTTTCCTGCCAGCTTAGTGTCATCTGCAAATTTGGTAAGTTCTTCTTCTATTCCCTCATCAAAGTCATTTATGAAGATACTGAAGAATACTGGGCCTAAGACAGAACCTTGTAGCACCCCATTGCTTACTTCCCTCCGTGTAGACTTAGACCCATTAAGGACTACTCACTGAGTACAGTTTGTCAGCTAGTTGTGAATCCACCTGATGATGTTGCCATGTATCCCATTTTTCTGTAGCTTACCAAGATTACTGGTGGAGGGGTCCTGCAGTCTTTTTGTTCTCTTTTGGGCTGGCTTATTGTCTCTTTTGCATACTCTGTAGATGTTAATGTCATCAAAAAAGCACAACAAAGAATGTTTTTTCTGTGAATTCAGGAAGTTCACTCTGCCCAAAGAACTGCTGATTCAGTTCTACAGAGGAATTATTGAGTCTGTCATCTGCACCTCTGTAACTCTCTGTTTTGGCTCTGCAACCCAACAAAACAGACACAGACTTCAGAGAGTAATTAGGACTGCAAAAAAACAACAATACTACCAACCTGCCTTCCATGGAGGACCTGTATCCTGCACAAGTCAAAAAGAGGGCTGTGAAAATATCTACAGACCCCTCACATCCTGGACATAAATTGTTTCAACTTTTACCCTCAAAACAACGCTATAGGGCACTGCACACCAGAACAACCAGACACAAGGAGTTTTTTTCCAAACGCCACCACTCTGCTGAACACACAATTCCCATAACACTGTCAAACTATTTAGTAAGACTGTATTACTATTATTCTTGTCATCCTTCCTATTACCCATCTCTTCCCACTTATGACTATAATCGTGTTGCTTTTATCTTTATGATTTATATTATTAGATGTTCCCTAGTATGATTTGATTGCTTATTAGCAACCTATGACTATCACTAAGTGTTGTATCTTATGATTCCTGATGAATGTATTTTTTTTTAATGGGTTTGGGCTGACAGCTGTGGAAAACAGCCCCTCTGCCTCTCCTCCCGGTTCTGGGCAGCTGTCCTGCTTTCCATCTGCACACCTGGATCCCAACTCCACGTGGTTTTATTTACAGATATTCATCCCTTATTGCAAAGCTTGAGTTGTTTGTTTTTGGCTAAGAACCAAGTTTAGGGCTGCTTGCAAAGCACAGTGAGCAAAAGGTGAAGATGCTGGCCAGCTTACAATTCAGCCTCTCCCCCCCCCCACTCCCCTCTGGTCCTCCCTCTCTTTGCTTCTCTTCCCAC